CGGTCCAACATCATGTGACCGTTCACTGCAGACACGCACAGCGGTCCGGTCAGCGCTGATGACGCACACGTGATCATTCTGACAGTACGGTTCAGAGTCATTCGAGTCATTTATATGGTTCTTTTGTAACGAGCTGAATGACCCAACAGACTTCACAGATCTGCATCAGACAAGTCTGGATACCTGAACCTGGGTGTCCATCAGTGGCCTGCCAGCTGTTGTGCACAGCTGCACTGTGAACACATCAACATAAAACTGCTCAGACTGGTTGTAACGGCTCACAATGAGCACAGCGGGTTCAACAATAATTAAACAGGTGCTAGTATTTTTATTTGGACTCAAACTGCTCATTAAACCAGAAACGACTAAAAGCAGCAGCTGTGACTTCATGGATCACGGAGTGGACTTTAGATCAGCTGCAGGTCACAGCTCAGGACCAGCTGTATGAAGATCAGGATGGACCACTCTGATCGAGCACAGAACTGAACAGGACCTAAAAGATCAAAGTCTGGATCTCTGCCAGGAACACAGAATCGTTGGTTACATACTGTAACCCCAGATTCTATGAGTATAGGCGTAGCCCTTTAAGGCTGTTGCTGATGGGGTTTATCCCGTCATGCGAAGCATTGCACTGAAAAATTTAGTCCACGCCCACCTGCTGTGTGGGCCCCACCCGGTCCGTATAAATTACGTTAAGAGCGGGTAATCGGCTCCCAAATAGCTTTTTCTTCAGCCATTTAGGAGCCAGTGAGGCCCGAAGCTTAAAGGGCTACTTTCATTCATTCAACCTTTATTTAAACAGATAAATCACATTGAGCCTCGAAGACTCGTTTACAACTGATACCTGTTTGGACAGACAAAAAACAGTGGTTAACTGGACACATAGGAATTGGGAGGCAAAAAAAAATCCTATCAAACTTTTTTCTTGGCTGAGAAAAACCCCTAATATTGAAAAAACACTTTGCACATACAAGCACATATTTACGTAGACATTCTGCAAAGCAGGAAGAAGGAAGAGACGAGACCGGTCAACAACGCCTACAGATGCTCTCGAGGTCACTATAATCAGTCAATGTCCTCCGGTGAGATCCATATAGGCTACGCCTATACTCATAGAATCTGGGGTTACAGTACGTAACCAACGTTCTATTTCATACAGGCTTCGCCCTTTAAGGCTGTCGCTGATGGGTTAAGGGCGAAGCGGATGTTGTCCTCGCCTCACTGGGTCCATTCGAACACCGTATGAAGCAGAAGCTTGCCCAAAAAACGTCTCGTCACTCAGCTCCCCAATGTGCGTAATTACGCATTGCATAATTATGTGTGCCGTGCACAGACGCATGTTGTGTAACTATGCGTTCTGAATGCATGAACACCCTGGAAAACTTTCAACGGGGAGGGAAAAAAGCTGAAAAGAGCCATGAACCAACCGGTTTACGGCTGAACAGTATGAACAGATTAATAATAACAGGAGAGCTGATTATTAATCAAATGAACTGATTGATAACAATATTCGTGAACTGATTAGTGACAATAGAACCAAAATAACAATCACAACTTTGATAACATCTCACACTGTAATGCATGCAGACAGATGTGAGTTGAACGGAGTTCCATGAAACAACAGTATTCATTCTGTAAAACACTAAGGACAGAATGTGTCATGGAACGAGCCGTCACATCACGTAGATAAAAGTGAATAAATGAGCGGGATGTTGACCACGCGGCCGCAGTGCAAATATCCTGCATTGTCATGCCATTTTGCAAAGCAGTCGAAGATGCGATACCTCTGGTCGAGTGTGCCCTGAGGTTGTCAGGAGGCTCTAAATCTGATGCTCTGTAGGCTTCAGAAATGGCCTCACACAGCCAGTGTGACAGGCGCTGGGTGGATAACGGGCGACCTGCAGATGCATCTCTATAATGCACAAACAAATGTTGATGCATTGCAGCTGTGCGCTATGTAACACGTCAATGGGTGGGGGGGGAATCCCTCCAACAAAATCGCTCTTGATTTAAAAGAGCTCGTGATGTTCTAGGCATAAAGCCTGGGTTTGGTCTTAAATCAGCTGAGCTGCCGTCAGCCTGAATTCTAAGACATGACGGAGCGACAGAGAAGGCAGATAATCACTCACTCTTAGTGGATGTTAAAGCCAGCAGCAGGGCTGTTTTAAGAGACAAGAATTTAATTGGAACCTGATCCAGAGGCTCAAATAGAGCTTTGATCAGGGCCCACGGGACTAGTGTTAAATCCCACTGTGGAACAAGTGGGTGTGAAACAGGCCTGCGTCTCTGTACACTTTTTAGAAAATGCTTCATCAGCGGATGATTAAAAGCTGTTCTGTCTCCGAACCCTTCTAGGCAGGCAGAGATGGTTGGAGCGTACGTTAATCGTGCTGAACGCCAAGTTCCTGTCCATCAGCTGTTGTAGAAAGGACAACATGCCACCTAGTGGACATGAGGTGGCCGCTACACCTTTCTCCGTACACCAGCGCTGAAAAGCTGTCTGCTTTGATGTGTACACCGCTGTGGTAGATGCAGCACGTGAAACCTGAATTGTGCGCACTACATCCTGTGGGAGACCTCTCTAAGCGGATCCGCTCAGCAGCTAGACCCACAAGTGCTGGACTATTTCTGGGTAACTCCTGATCGCTCCTCCTGCCTGGAGGAGAGCATTCTCCCTCCACTGCAGTTTCCACGGGCGCCCCGACAGCAGGCGTTGCAGGACTGGGAACCATGGTGCGTTCACGTGCTCGGAGGCCACCAGGGGAGCTGTCAATCCCTCCTCCTGAACTCGGTTCAGGAACCGTAAAATCAGAGGAGGTGGAGGAAACGCGTAAAGAAGCGTTTTGGGCCATGGGCTGTGGGCAAACGCATCCACCCCCAGCAGTGGTTCCTCTCGCGGGCTCAGAGAAAACCATAGTTGACACTGAGCGTTTTCTTGTCTCGCAAATAGGTCCACAGCTGCTTTGCCAAATTTCTGCCACGTCTGAGCCATCAGATCTGGATGGAGAGTCCAGTCCCCGTGACGTGGACCGCTCCTGGACATCACATCTGTCCCTTAGTTCAGAACACCGGGACTGTACACTGCTCTCACGGAGGGAGGAACAGTGATCATCCGTCTCTTTTGTTTTACTGGATCCACACGCAGACGCGTAAGCCACTTCTGGAGGCGTCTCATGTGTAATAAACCCAGCGGGACCACTGTGTGAGCTGACGACATCGTCCCTAACAGCTTCATGACGGAAACAGCTGTTATCACTCTGCCAGGTCTTACGTGGTAGAGCTGGTCTTCCAGAGTGTCGATTCTCGTTTGTGATAGAGCCCTCATGGTGGTTGAGTTTAGCTCCACTCCCAGATAAACGATTGTCTGGGCCGGGAAAATCGATATTTTCTTCCAATTTATGGCGAAGCCCAGATTTAACAGGTGTGATGTCAGCGCCAGGGCCTGTCTCATTGCCTCCTGTCTGGAGCGTGACAGCAGCAACAGATCGTCCAGGTAAAACAAAACTCTCATCCCTGCTCTGTGTAATGGTTGCAGGGCCGTCTCCACACACTTTGAGAACGTACGAGGCACGAGGGAATACCCAAACGGCAGCCTGTTGTACTGATACTTCATCCCTTGAAAGGAGAAACGCAGGAATTTTCTTTGTTTTGGGATGATCGGTATGTGAAAATAGGCATCTTTCAGGTCGACGAAAACAAACCAATCGTTTCTCTGGATGTTGTCCAACATGTGGAACGGTCTGTCCATGATCACCTTGTTGAAAACTGACAGATCCAAAATGGGTCTCATCCCTCCGGTCCGTTTGGGAACCAGGAAGAAACGTGAGTAAAAACCCTGTGTTTTCCTCTCCGTTGGGAACTCTGGAGATTACTTCTTTTACCAGAAGTTCTTGGACTTCTGCATTTAGGGATGAGACCTGGTCTGGTGATGACAGGACTGTCTCTAAAATTCCTCCGAACAGAGGGGGTCGGGTTGCAAATTACAACATGTAACCTTTGCATAACATCTGTCTGGCGAGCATGTTTTTAGCCACTCCGCGTAACGTTTGTGGAGTGGACGTGCGTTTAAGTGATGCGTCATGTTTTGTACGGATGCCATCCAGTCCACCGCCTCGACCGTCGTCATGTGTCGTGGGAATGTGTTCCGTGAGACCCAAGGCGAGGCTTCTCGAAAAGGCTCTGAGCGCGCCTGTGTGCTGCGTTCGGACCACGGGTCCACCTTGTGTTGAGGAGAAACGTGTGACAGCTGATGACGCCGCTGGCCCCCGCATTTGACGCCACTGCGGTGAAAAACTCGTGTCGCTCCTGCCGCGAGCGGGGTCCTGCGCTGGGCTCGCTTTGCGGTCCCGCATTTAAGCTGACGGGCACTGAGAACGGTGAACGCGACTTCATCTATGCCGTGCTGTTTGAGTGAAGGCTGCAAGCGCCGCTCTCGCTGGGGCGAGATTGGTCACTGGGTTCGCTCAGCTGTCTCACGTTAATGCCGACGTGAGCGGACGAGCGCTGAATGAAGACTGCCCCCGCCGCAGCGGCACGCGTTTGCTTCGGTGCGGCGCGAGTCGCTCTCGCTGAGAGCAAGGTCCTCCACCGACCCGACCTGCGGTCCCACATTTATGCCGCTGTGAGCTGGTGAGCGCCGGGGAGCTGTGTGTGCACCATCATCAACGCAACGCCGTTTGAGTGAAGGCTGTTTGCGTCGCGCAAGTTTGACACCGCTTGGGTGAAGATCATGCAGCTCGGGTTGACTACGAGCTGTTTCGCTTACCACTGTTGTGTATGTGAGTGTCTCGTCATGTCTGGAGCAGCGGTGAGTTTGAAAACCCTTTATTTAAGGACACCAGCTCGTTTTTGTGGAGGGTGTGTGCGCAGCCGCTGTGAGTTCATACAAGCTTACAGACTGGCTAGAAACAGACACTTGATCATTGAATGAAGTTTTATCCAACATTTGTGTCATCTTTACACACACCCTCCGCAGACCGTCATTTTGAATCTTTTCGCCCATGAGCTCTGGGATTTGTTGGCCCAGGGCGCCGTCTGCTGGGGATCTCTGGGAAAACGTTGGACACTCTGTTGCCGGGATGAAGAGGGCCGGTCTCTGACGGGCGGGGCTGCGGTGAAGCTCAGCGAGACGGCCGTGGAACGTGAAGGATTTGTGGTGTTCAAAATGACCCGAGCACAGAATTTCAGGAGCACTTCACCTTAGTATAAAAGATTTAATTGAGACAAAGTTAAAGTATGCAGATATTACATATAATCAGAGTGCAGTCTGAGGAACAAAATCAGAGTGAACCTTGCCTGGTCAATCAGCCCGATGTTTGTTCAACCAAACTTTGTGTCTGAGCAAGATTTATAGGTTTATCATGTCTCGCCCTTTCGGGTTCAGACAGACTTGTGATTGGATGTCCAAATCTCTTGATTAGTCCGAGTGACACCATGTTCAGCCACTCAGGAGCAGATTTTATCTCCAGGGTTACTCCGAAAGCCCCAGACGGCCTCGCTCATTCTTCTACTGATAAGGGTTGATTTACGAGCTTTGTTTTGGAACGCAGGACACTTACTCTGGCTCTCGTCTGTGTAAAGCTTTAAAACACGTTTTCTGTGTTTCTGAACTATTATTAATGTGAAAGCATATATACTCAACCTGTGTTAAGTATAAAGTATATGAATATTGTGATTTAGCGTTATTTATGTTTAATCAACGTGTGAACAGTGTGTCACACTGGTGGGCCCTCACTCTCAGCTGCTCTGCTCAGATGAACAAAGAAGGATCGTTTCCTGCTGCACAAACAAGTGTCTTACCTTTCTCTGTTTCCCTCAGAATTATATCAAATGTGAACTTGTATGATTATCCTTAGCACTTGTGAGATTATATATAACATGAAGTAATTAGTGTATGATTATACACGCACACACCTTGTAGAAAATGCATCATTTCACATCATCAAAGAAATGCCAAGGCTTGTCAAAAGATATAACAAGATATAAAAGATATCAAATCCAACAAACGTCTTGCCACCAGCTCATTTCGTGTGGCGGATGTGAGAGGGAGCCGCTGTCAAGTCATCAGAGCTGACAGACTGGCTAAAAATAGACACTTTCATCATTAAATGAAGTTTTACTCCAAACTCGTGTCACCTTCACACACATCCTCCACCAAAACCGTCATTTGCTCTGCCATTTGTTGTCCTAGAGCGCCATCCGTTGGTGGTCTTAGGGAAACGCTGAAAACCCCGTCTTCCGGCTGCGATGCGGGCCAGCAGACAGCAAAGAGGCGCACCGGTTGAGGATGACGTCAGCTGCCCTGCAGACGGAGCGTACGTCTCTTCCCTCCTCTGAATGTGTACGCCAACAGCGTAACGTGTTGTTCGCTGCGGCCGTCTGGAACGCATGCTGGTGAGCTCAGTTGGAGAGCGGTGTCACCGTCTGGGTTACGCTAACCAGAGGCGCGGGACGCTGGTCCACCTGGACATCTTGCTCCGAGAAAAGCCTCCGTCAGGCTTGGTTACGCCGGGCAACCCCATAGGGCGCAGTCGGCCTGGAGCGGTGTGATCGCCGATGCGAAATGAGGTGGGATGAGGTGAGCATACGCTCAACCCCCCTCCACCGACACTACGCTCTTCAGGAGGGAATGAGCAGTGGGGGGCTGCAGCTGACGTGGCCTGTCCCGGAGGAACTATCCGATTCGCTCCGAGGGTCGGCGATGAGGAAAATTTACAAGATGGCGTTGTCCAGCGTGTAGCGACTTGTCACTGAGAAATACTCCTCCGTGCTTACCTTGAAGCAAGACTGCTCGTCAGCTTCTCGGGGAGGAGAGCTCACCGGGACGACCGGAGGTCGACGTGATGGGCCAAGCATTCTTAACAAAGGTTGGTCATCTACACAACTTTCCTTCTTCGTTCTTCTGACAGTGCTATTAGCTCGCTGAAGAAAAATGGGAGCCGATTACTTGCTCTTAACGTAATTTATACGGACCGGGTGGGGCCCACACAGCAGGTGGGCGTGGACTAAATTTTTCAGTGCAATGCTTCACATATCGGGATAAAACCCATCAGCTCAGCCTTAAAGGGCGAAGCCTATATGAAATAGAACATCTGCTTCTTTAAAATGCTGCCCTGGAGTCTTCCTCACCAAACCCAGAGGAGACGCTTGGTGAGGAAGACTCCAGGGTGTCCCGATGGTCGCATCAATAAACAGATTGTTTGGAGACGAGCTGAAGGTTTATGGATGAAGTTTAATCAAACAGATGTGAGTGTTAACATCAGCTTCCACCAGAGTCCGTGTGTGGTTCTGAACCATGCTAGAACCCTCCACAGGTTAGTAACATGAGCATCCTGCAGGATGGATGACATCACTTCTTGCTGAACTTCTTGCGCGCAGCGTTGGGGTTGGCCCGCCTCCTGCCGCCGCCGCTCTGACCGTCTCTGATGTGCAGATTGGCGGCCCGGCTGTAAATGTCGTTCTCGCAGAACGGCGAGGAGCCAGCTGTGTAGTCCGGGTCGAAGACATCCGTCTTCTGCCGAGCCTTCCGCGAGAGCCGCTGCTGGGGGAAGCGCTGGTCCTCCACCAGGTGGGGGTTGTTGGCGTGCTTCCCGCCGTGAGGCAGCGGCAGCGAGTGCTGCAACAGAAACACGACACGTGAGTCAAACGTGTCCACAGGCTGACATGAGAACTGGTGGCAGTTCACACAAACAAAGACTGAAGTATGTTTCGTTTTCACAGAATCTGAATAAATAAAACGTTTTGGTGTTTGATGTAGTGAACTCGGCCTCCGACCAAAACCTGCCTCTGACGACCCTCATGGGACAGAAACTGTTATTTCATTGATTTGAATCCAGAAATACAAATTTGCTCATCCAGAGACTGTCTAATTGTATCCTGAAGTAATCAATTGAAAGAACACTCTTCTTTTATATTATCATTACTATTTTACAATATCTTGATAAATCAAAAGTGTATTTAGTTCATACCATTTCTAAATGTTGAAGTGAACCACTCATTTTAAATCAACTGTGAAACAGTATTAATGATTTTTTAATCCTCATTTAAATTAGAAATCAAGTTAAATGTCTAGTTACAAAGTAATTATGCATTTTGATCTTCTGTCTGAAATGAGAAGTAGTGATGTCGGTCGAAAGTCAGAAAGAAGTTATTAGGACGAAGTGGATTGTTTTTAAACCTAGCAGACGGTAAATAAGAAGCTACTGGCACCTGCTTGCCCTCACTTCGTCATAACATTTCTCCTGTCTGTACTAAAAGTCCATAAAACATTCCTGTTTTCTTGACTTGTAATGACCCTCTGACATCACTAGAACCACCCCGTTGGTTGTTTCAACCAATCAGGAAGTCCTGAAGTGACCGGAAGTGAGAACTCTTTAAGAGTCCACACTTCCTGGAACTTCTCAGTCAACTGGGTCTGTCAGTCAGTCGGTCAAGTCTCCTGAGCTCCTCAAGTGGGCCTCTGATGAAGTCTAGTCTTGAACTTGGTCTTCGGAGCCTGTGATGGATTCTTCCACATCTGAGTGGAACCTCTGACAGACTCACATCTTGCTGTGTATCCGCCCGGGAGATGAGCGTGTTTGTTGAACGGAATAAGAGGCGCGACTCCTGATATGGCCAGACGCTCTTACCGGAGGCGCTGAAAGGTAGCGTTGAAATGGACCTCTGTACTGGAGTTGATGTATCTTCTGCAAAGGTAACAATGGTCATGCACCAAGTGTACCGGAGAGTTGGGCTGGTGTTGAAAGAAGCGTGCCATTCTGCGGTCCGAACAGACACCCCCTCCTTATCCATCTTTTCTCTCCATTTAAACTCCTTCATTTCCCATCTTTAAACTCTGCTATTTTGCCAATAGTCTAGATGCCTTCTTCAAGTCCTGTTGTCTTATTAAGTAAAATGTGCCAAGTTTTATTAATCAGAACCAGATCAGCTAATCAAGTGTACAATGCTTTGATGTTAAATTTTGATTCTGTTCAATAAATGACCACATTTATTCTGATGGGTCAAAGGAAATTAACGTCTCATGTCACTGATTAAACAATCCACGCACAGTTACCTCGGTCACATGGCAGTAATTTAAATCGAAAAAGAGAGAACCCGTTTATTTAAATAATTAGTAGTGAGAGGGTGAAGCTAACCTAGCCCTTAGCACACTACATTGATTACGCTAGTTTCCTTTTTGTTTATGGATGAAGTCTAAAAGGAACAGAAACCACAGATGGTTGAGTCTACAGCTCTGCCGGTGTGGTCGGTTCTGAAAGTCCGGTGAGTCGGCACCGTCCTTAAAAAAAACTAGCTTCTGATAATATTAATTATGGAGCTCGCTGTTATTGTTGTTCACTAGATTTTTCAACTATACCGTACTCACTTGTAGTGAATGTGGGGACAGATTAACTGTCTCTTCACTACTAATTAATTATTCTTAAAGCTAGTTCAAGCACAAAGAATATTAATTATTTAAATACAACGGATTCTTTCTTTTTGAGTTAAATTAATGCCATGTGACGAGATAACTGTGAGGATTGTTTAATCAGTGACATGAGACGCCATTTTTATTTGACCCATCAGAATAAATGCGGTCATTTATTTAACAGAATCAAAATTTAACATCAAAACATGTACACATTGATTTGCTGATCTGGTTCTGATTAATAAAAACTTGGCACGCTTTACTAACAAGACAACAGAACATTTCTGAAGGCATCTAGATTACTGGCAAAATAAAAAGTTTAAAGGAAGGAATGGAGAAGTTTAAAAGTAGATGGATGGAGGAAGATGTATTTTGTTGACCAGAATTAGCATGCTTCTTCCAACACCAGCTCAAACCCCCGGTACACGCGGTGCGTGACGACTCGTTACCTTTGCAGAAGATGAATCAGCTCCGGTACAGGGTCCATTTCAACGCTACCTTTCCAGCGTCTCCGGTTAGAGCTGCTGGTCATTGTCAGAAGTTGTGACGATTTACTCCGTACAACAGATAAGCTTCCTTCGAAGTTGTAGGGCGTTACGCCCGGGTGGGTTCACAGCGAGGCGCTGTGACTCAGTCAGAGATTCCACTCAGAAGTGGAAGACTCCAAGAAGACCCCATGAAAGACTCCAGGAAGACTCAGAAGACTGACTAGTTCCAGGAAGTGTTGACTTTTAAAGAGTCCTCACTTCCGGTCACTTGGTACTTCCTGATTGGTAGAAACAACAAACAGGGGGGTGTTTCAGTGATGTCAGAGGGTTAGTAAAAGTCAAGAGAGGCTGCAGGAATGTTACGATTAGTATAGACAGAGAAATGTTTTGGCGAAGTGAGACAACCGCAGATGCCAGTTGAAGTTATTTACTGTCTGCTAGGTTTAAAAACAAGACACTTCGTTCTAATAACTCGTTTTCTGACTGTCTCTGACTTTCGACCGACATCACTACTTCTCATTCAGACAGAAGATCAAAATGCATAATTACTTTGTAAATAGACATTTAAAATGATTTCTAAGTCTAATAAGGATAAAAAAAAATCATTAATACTGTTTCACAGTTGATTTAAAATGAGTAGTTCACTTCAACATTTAGAAATGGTATGAACTAAACACACTTTGATTATCAAGATATTTTAAAATAGTAATGATAATAAAAAGAAGAGTGTTCTTTCAATTTATTAATTCAGGATACAATTAAACAGTCTCTGGATGAGATAATTTGTATTTCTGGATTCAAATCAATGAAATAACAGTTCCTGTCCCATGAAGGTCTTCAGAGACAGGTTGTGGTCAGAGGTCTAGTTCACTACACACTTTTTAAATGGAATAAAATAATTTTTGGTGATTTATTCTCAGCCTGATTCCTAGAATACCAAAACAAATCTGGGTGTTTCAGTTCAGTTTATTTCTATAGCACCAAGTCACACCAGAAGTCATCACAGGACACTGAACAGAAACATTCATATTTAAAAATAATAATTTAACATTATTTATCTGAAGAGCAGACTGCTTTGAGTTGAACTCCATCACAGAACTCTCATGTTGAGCAAGCAAGAAGGCGACAGTGGAAAGGGAAAAACCCATGAGGAAGAAACCTTTATCAGAACCAGTCTCAGGACAAGTGGTCATCTGCTTCGACCGGCTGGGTTGGAGAGGAACAGATACACAATGGCAGGTCAAGATGTTAAGATAGAAATAATATCAAGCGAAAACTATTAAATTTTAGCAAATAATTAAAAAAAATTAGGTCAATTTGTCCTCTAGTAGTCTAAGCCTATAGCGGCATAACAAGCCAACCCTAACTTTAGGATTTATCAAAAGCCCATTCTTAAAACTGGACAATGTTTCAGCCTCATGGACAGAAACTGGAAGTTGGTTCCACAAAAGAGGAGCCTGAGAACTGAAAGATATTCCATTCTGCTTTTGGTAACTCTTGGACCCACGAATAAGCCTGCAGTCTCAAAGCGAAGTGCTCAGTTAGGATTTCTTTTTTTTTTTTTTTAATCTGTAATGTCAGATGGAGCTAGGTTGTTGAGAGCTTTGTAGGTTAGAAGTAAGATTTTGAATTTTATTCTGGATTTGACAGGGAGCCAGTGGAGAGAAGCTAAAACTGGAGAAATATGATCTCTCCTACTAACTCCAGTTAAGACTCTGGCAGCAGCATTTTGGATCAACTAAAGATGTTTTAAGGAAGTATTTGGACACCCAGATAATAAACCATTGCAATAGTCCAGTCTAGACGTGACAAATGCACGGACCAGTTTTTCTGCATCATTTTTAGATCAGATGTTTCTAATTTTAGTGATATTACACAGGTGGAAGAAGGTGGTTCTAGTAACGTTTTTAATGTGGGGGATAAAAGACATGTCCTGATCAAAAATAACACCAAGATTTTTAACATTAGAGCTGAAGGACAGATTAATGCCATATAAGGAGGAAGAAATACTGAAAAATTCATTCCTAAGGTGCTCAGGTCCAATAACCAAAACCTCAGTCTTGTCTGTGTTCAACAGGAGAAAATTAAGGGCCATCCAGGTTTTTATGTCTTTAAGACATGCTTGTAGTCTAAATAGCTGATTGGATTCATATGTATGTGAATGTTTCTGTAAAGTGCCCTGAGACAACTTTGTTGTGATTTGGCGCTATATAAATAAACTGAATTGAATTGGGTTTAATGGACAAATATAATTATGTGTCATCAGCATAACAGTGAAAAATTATTTCAGGGATCAGCCTCACTGTTTATGACTCTCAGGATCCATCAATGAAAAGAAGTAATCTGACTCTGGTCTGAAACATCTGGATTCATCTCTCCTGCAGGAAATGAACTTAACTTAATGTACTTAATTTCCCATCCGTGGGACAATAAAGACTGTTTCTATTCTATTCTATTCTACTCTATTCTATTCTATTCTATTCTATTCTATTCTATTCTATTCTATTCTATTCTATTCTATTCTATTCTAACAGCTATGGAGTGTTATAATCAGACTTTAGGAAAATAAAAGGTTTTAAGGATTTGTTTTCTGGATAGAGTTTTTGAAAAAGTTGCAAGTGATATCAGAACGTGTTCCGAGTCCCCGAAGGAGTAACCAGCACCTGCCTCCTCCAGGATCTGTGACCTGTTTGTGAACTGGTTATCTAACTCGTCTGTACTGACACAGACTTTAAAGAGGGGAGCAGAGCATCTCACCCGCAGTCCTCTGGGGTTCAGCACTTTGGGGTTTTTGGAGAAATGCATCTGAATGCTGCCATCGTTGCTGACCGTCACCGCCAGCTTCTTCAAGGTTTTGTTCCCACAGTGAGGACAGAACACTCGACTCATGTTGCTCGTCGTCCTAAAAGTCAAACACATTCAGGTTCTTCAGTTCTGTTCAGACTTGACCTGGCTGTCAGGAGGACCTCTGAGTCCACAGTTTAGGTCTTACTTGAAGCAGGCGTGACATCTCAGGATGTAGTTCCTCGCCTCTCTGATCACCATCCCATTCACAGACAGAACATGGAGGCCCATCTGGATCAGAACGTTCTGCAAACAGAAACATGTTCACATCATCTAAACATGCTTACCACACTCCATCCTGATGGGAAAATCAAAGTCCACCCAAGTTTGACGGTTTCAAGTATCGGGACATAAAACTGATGAGGTCATCAGTGGGTTCTGAAACGATTCAGACCTGAACAAAAACACAACAGAGTCATTAACTAAAGCAAAAGAGCTGTGTGGAAAAAAACATGTATTGTGTGTTAACACAACGCCAAGGCAGAACACCATCAGCAATGACCTCAGAAAAGAAACTGTTGCTGGCTATGAATCTGGGAAAGGTCAAAGGTCATTGAGAGACCATCTTTCTACAGAGAACAATATTATACATTTAAGATGGTTGACAATCTCCCCAGGAGTTGACAGCCCAGAAAATTCACCCAGAAGGTCAGACTGTGCAATACCTAAAGAACTGAGCTCCATCTCAGACTCTACAGGCCTCAGCAGGTTAAAGGTCAAAGGTCATGGCTTGTTAGGGTTGTAGGAGAAAACTTATAAAAACATCTAAAACAACATGGCAATATGACTTGAGTTTGGAAGGTTCATCTGAAGGAACCACAACACTTCTGGAACAATGAGACTACAGGACTGGTGGTTACCCAGAATGCACTGCAGTCAACATCTCATCCCAGCTGTCAGCACGGTGGTGGAGGTCTGAGAGTTTGGGCTACTTGCAGTCAGTGAGTGGACCATGAACTCCTCTGTAGACCAAAGGGTTCTGGCATCAGATGTCAGTTCATCTGTCCACCAGCTGAAGCTGGGACCAAATTGGGTCCAAATGGACCATGATCCTAAGCCCAGCAGCTGATCTACAACAGAACAGGTCATTTTGTTAAGTCAAAAAACTTTGGTGCCTTACCTGCATGGCGAAGTCGGTGGTCAGACATCCAACTTTGACGTCAGCTGAAGCCATCCAATTGGCAGAGTCCATCTTCAACTGTCTGATGTTACTGGGAGTGATCCAGCCCCCTTCGTCATCTTCATCCTCCTCAGGTTCGTTCTCTTTGTCCTCATCGTGCGATTGTTCCTCTGACGGCTGGTGCTCTGTTCTCTCTTCCATCTGCGGCGAGTAGTCTGATGGTGACACTCCGCCCTCATCCTGAAATAAATAAAGAAATCCTCATCATCACCACGACTCTGTCAGTTCAAGTGTTCTTTTAGGGATCTGCGTTCTCAGAAAACGTGGGTCTGTCTGATGTTCTGATCCTGTGTTTCCTAAACGATTTGAGCAGCAGACTACAAATTCTAGATCCAGCTCTTCCAAATGGACTTTGTCTTTCTGCCTCACAAGAACCAGACCATCAGAAGGAGAACGGGGCCCAGTATTGACCTCACCAGTAAAGCCAGCAGGTCATCGTCGATGCTCAGCAGCGGGTCTCTCCAGAACTGGAAGCTGTTGAAGTGTTCGTTGTCCGTCGCCTGTGTGTCCGTCGCCTGTGTGTCCGTCGCCTGTGTGTCCGTCGCCTGTGTGTCCGTCGCCTGTGTGTCCGTCGCCTGTGTGTCCGTCGCCTGTGTGTCCGTCGCCTGTGTGTCCGTCTGTGTGTGGTTTGGATTTGAAACCTCAGTTGGACCCTGACAAGAGCAGAAACAGTTCAGTCAGTGTTAACATCCTGAGACACCAACCCAAAGCAAAAATGGAGTCTGTCAGCCGGTTTGTCAGAACGCACCAGTAAATCCAGTAGGTCTGTGTCGATGGAGGGCAGCGGATCCCTCCAAAACTGGAAGCTGTTGAACGTATCGCTGTTGGTCTGGTTGGACGTCTCCTTCTCCGTTTGGGTCTTTCTGATGTTTAGTGTGTCTGCAGACCTCTGAAGAAACAAAAAACTCAGAGATGACTCAGCAACACCTGAACGTTCACCCACCTTCTGTCTCGTACCTTAGAGGGAAAGTGGAACCCTGTGATATTAACTGGTGCCTCTGGGTGGCGCTGTGTGCTCTGAATATTCACCTGAAGAAGAAAACATTCACAGTTCAATCACATAGTCGTGTCTATAGCCTCTTTTCCACAGCTCCTCTTCAGCCCGGTTCGGCTCAGTTCGGTACGGTTTTGAGCCCTTTTCCACCGTCATTTTTTCACGGAACTGGCACCTTTTTTGGTCCCTTCTTCTCGTGCCCTTTTTCCACCACTCCTACTCAGCCCTGCTCAGATCAGCTCTTTACACGTAGGATTTCCACCGAACTTCTGGACCGGTTCTGGAGGCGTGTCCAGAATCCAAAATCCTGCTAATGAACTTTTAATGAACTTCAGTTCATCGAGTGAGAGTTCTGCAATGAGTTAAACTCAAAGCAGTCTGCTCCTCGGATAAATAACATTAAATTATTATTTTTAAATATGAATGTTTCTGTTAACATTTTATATATGAATATTTCAATTCAATTCAGTTTATTTATATAGCACCATATCACAACAAAGTTGTCTCAGGGCACTTTACATACGGGGGAGTGGTGGCGCAGAGGTTAGAAGATGGGCCTGTGATCAGAAAGTAGCAGGTTCAACTCCCGGTACCGTGGGTGGATATGGTGAAACACCCACACCTGCCTCCACCCTCATTCGCCCCACTCTGGGCCCCTGAGCAAGGCCCTTAACCCACACCATCTGCTCCTAAACAGATCTCTCTTGAAAATGAGTTCTCGTGACTCAATGAGACTACCTGTATAAATAAAGGGTAATTTGAAAAAAAACATACATAAAAGCCAATTAGTAAAGTTCTCTATCTAAGGAATCCAGCAGACAAGTTGAATCTTGGCTTCGTTGCAGTCTCCCATCCTGAACAAGCACAGTGGCAACAGTGGAAAGAAAAACTCCCTTTTAACAGGAAGAAACTTCCAGCAGAACCAGGCTCAGGACAAGCGGCCAACTGCTTTGACCGGCTGGTTTTTATTATGAATATTTCTGTTCAGTGCCCTGAGACGACTTCTGTTGTGACTCGGCGCTGTAGAAATAAACTGAACTGAATTTAATCTGATGAACCAGATTCTATAAAAACATCTGTATTTAAAATTCTATATTTTCTTCATCATTTGATGTATTTGCACTCGTGTCTACTTTTATTGATCAATTTAGATATGTGTTTTTTTCTTATATACAGATTATTTTATTTTAGTGATTTAAAGTTTAATTCTTGTTTTGTGATTTGTACATCTGTGGGTAAAGTTGAACTAAAGGCTGTGTCTCTTCTTTAAACATATTTGAGGGAAATATTCTTGAGGCTAAGGTTGAAGAGGTGCTGCAGAACCCCACAGAGCTGCTCTGCACAGACCTTCAGGACTTTGGGACTGACACCATCTGGACCTGCAGCCTTATTCTGGTTCAGTCTCTCCAGCTGCTTCCTCACCTGACTTCTGGAGACGCAGAGCGGGGAGGCAAAGGATGTATCAGCATCTTCTGATTTGGTTGAAGACCAATATGTAGAAGAAGGGTCCATGACTGAGGTGGTAGATACAATATTTGAGGTGTGACAGGACAGCCTTGGGTCAATGGAGGGTGGTATGTATGTTTGGCTGTGGGCAAGAGAGGAGGATGCTGAGCTTGTTCCTGAACTGAACCTATTAAAAAATGTGTTCAGTTCATTGGCTCTGTCCAGATCAGAAGGATGGATCCTTCTGATCATCCTTCTGCTTGAAGCCTGTGATCTGTTTCATCCCTGACCACACCTCTCTGATATTGTTCTGTTGGAGCTTGCTCTCCAGCTTCTTTTTGTACACCTCCTTGCTGTTTCTTATCTTGACTTTTAGTTGCTTCTGTGTGCTCCTCAATAATTCCCTGTCTCCCTCCCTGAAGGCTCTTTTTTTCTGGTTTAGCAGTTCCTTCAGGTCAGTGGTAATCCAGGGTTTGTTACTGGGGAAGCATCTCACTGTTCTAGTGAGGATGGTGTTGTTTACACAGAAGTTTATAGTCGGTCACACACTCAGTCATGGCATTGATGTCCTCTCCATGTGGCTGGCACAGTGCATCCCAGTCTGTAGCCTCAAAACAACCCCACAGGGCTTCTTCAGCTTCCGTTGACCATTTTCTCACTGTTCTCTTTATTGCAGGTTGCCTCTGAACAAGGGGTTTATATTTTGAGCAAAGAAACACAAGATTGTGATCTGATTTGCCAAGAGGGGGTCTAGCTTTAGCGATGTATGAATCCTTGACATTTGCATAAAACAAGTCCAGCGTTTTGTTTTCTCTGGTAGAGCAGCTGACAAACTGTTCAAATGTCGGAAGTGTAGCAGAGAGAGAGGCATGATTAAAATCCCCAGATATTGCAACAAACGCACTAGGGTGTTGTGTCTGCAGCTTAGCAACCTCGGAGCTGATGACATCACACGCAGTCTCAGCAACAGCATTGGGTGGAATGTAAACAGTTACCAAAATAACATTGTTGAACTCTCTTGGCAAATAATATGGACAACAACTTAGTGCTAACAGTTCAATATCTGGACTGCAGAGACGACACTTCACAGTAACATGTCCAGGATTAAACCATCTGTTGTTCACAAGCACTGCCAACCCACCTCCTTTCCTTTTGCCACTCCTCTTTAAATCTCCATCTGCTCGTATGGTCAGAAAGCCTGGCAAGGAAACGTTGGAGTCGGGGATATGATCCTGCAGCCATGCCTCAGTGAAACACATAACACTGCATTCCCGATACTCTGGATGGGTCCTTGTTAGGGCTTGAAGTTCATCCAACTTGTTTCCCAGCGATTTCACATTGCCCATCATAATCGATGGAAGAGATGGTTTAAACTTCAATTAAATTTGCAATTTCTCAGAACTCGGAGCAGCGGCTGGATCTATTTTTAATATTTTAAAAACAATAATGACAACACCGTGTTTAATGCTGAAGTCCAGGTGTTTTTTGTGCTTGGAGGCCGACGACAAAACTCAGAGTGAGCTAGATGGAACTCTGCCGGTCTCCCCGTCCTACACCGGAGCCCGTTCAGGCCGTGCAGGGAGTCATCTCCCTGGCTCTGAGCTCCGCCGGTAACCGCGGAAGATCCTCCGTGCTGCCGGCTCGGGCTCTTGCGGCCTTGCGGGCTCCGAGCTCTGCTGGTCACAGCGGAGAATCATACAAGCTGCTGACTTGCAGAAGGCCGTTGCCCGGACCTTGGCCTCACTTGCTCATGAAGGAAGAACCCCGATCCTGGCAAACGGGCAGACCGGGATTGGTATGGGATGGAGGATGGAAAGGATTTTTAAAAACATTTTATATATAAAAAAAAAAATGCATTTGTTTTTTATCAGTGAATATTAAAAAAAAAAATGAATGATGCCGGCTTTATCATGAAATCCTGTTTTCACTTTAATATCTATTAAATAATCTGTTAAAGTTAACTCAGCTGAAAAACCTTAAAAAGACACAAAATTATTGGATCTCTCAGGAATATTCAACTCAGATATGTTTTAAGAAGAACTATGGCCTTTAGTTAAACTTTATTCCAACCCACAGATGTATAAATCACAAAACACGAATTAAACTTTAAAGCAAAGCTAAAAAAATAAATATCTGTGAAGAAACAAAACCAAATATGTAAATTGAACAATAAAAGTAGACACGAGTGTAAATACATCAAATGATGAAGAAAAACTATACAATTTTAAATATAGATGTTTTTGTAGAATCTAGTTCATCAGATTTAATGGTGAACTAAAGCTCATTAAAAGTTTATTGGAAGGATATACAGGTCCTTCTAAAAAAAAAAAATAGCATATTGTGATAAAGGTCATTATTTTCCATAATGTAATGATTGTAGATGAACAGATGCTGGGATATATTCATCATTTAACACGGATTCCTCATTTTTCTGGACTGAATAAAACGTGCATTGAATTTAAGGAAATGCAAACGTGAGACGTCATTTATATTTGACCCATCAAAATGAATGCGGTCATTTATTTACAGAATCAAAATTTAACATCAAACATTTACATTAATTTGGCAAATTATGAAAATAACAACATAAGCAATCAATCAGGAAAAATCATACGGCCATGATTTTTCCGATGCTTCACCACAGACATTTATGAAACTGTACAATTATGATCTTTTACCCACACGGATGTGGATGAGCATTTTACACAGACATTTCTAAATATCTGGAAGAATATCTACTTGATAGAAAAGTTTAAAGATGGGAAAGAAGTTTAGAGGGAGTAAAGATGGTATGGGAGGGGAAGTGTTCACCAGAATTGACACTCTCCATCAGAACCCAGCTCTCCCCGGTACGCTTGGTAGGAAACTTGACTCGTTACCTTTCTGAAGTTAATCAGCAGATATGGAGCTCCGTTAACGCTACCTGTCCAGCGTCTCCTTAGGATGCTGTGAATCGTCAGAAGTAGTGGCGAGTGAAAATGTTATAATCCCATGGAACTCGGAAGAGCTCTGTTGTCATGTCAGGATCATCCCGTCTCTCACAGAACTGTCCAGCGCTAGGACATATCAGCACTGTCCGCGCCGCAGAACTTCTCCAACCAGCAGAACTCAACAGAACTTCTCCAGAGCTTCAACAGAACTTCTCCAGAGCTTCAACAGAACCGAGTTGAACCCAACAGTACCGACATTTTAAAGAGCTCTTTCCCGGTTCACTTTTGGGAGTATTCCCATTGGTCAGAAACAACCAGACGGGGTGTGTTTTGTGACGTAAGAGGTTAGAAGACAGCAAGAATTGTTATGAAACAGATCAGAAATGTTCTCACAGACAGAGAGAGTTTTGTTTTGGCGAGTTTAGAAACAGGTGCCAAAACCTCTATATTTACGTCTGAGAGGATTCTAAAAACATGACAGTTCGTTCCAACAACTTGTTTTGCGTTTGACTCCAACCTTGGACCAACGTACACTTGCTCATTCAAAAGCAGAAATCAGAAAAGGCATAATTACTCTGTAACAGCTTTGACATGAGTTCTAACTTTGCATGAGAATAAAAATCATTACACAGTTAATAAAATAGATTAGTTCACTGCAA